AAGTTATAATAAAACATAAGTGTTTAGTTTACTTTAATAGTTTAAGAAAATCTTAAAAAAAATTAAATGTTTCTCCACTTTTGCTCGGTAGGTACTGTAGCTGCCTTACCTCGTTTGATATTGCATGTTATAAAAATATGGTTACTTTAAGGTCTGGTTCTTATCAACCCTTTATGCTAGTCTCCCTTAGGCATAAGAGAGATTAAAATGCTAGTTGCTTGCCTAGCTACATAATTTCTCCATAATCCACAAGCTCTGGTTGCTATGGGGTATATTGATCCTTTACTTTGCCCAGATAGGTAAGAGACTATTTAAGAAAAACTCAAGAAATTTGGAACCTTTCTGCGAAACTGTGATTTAATGAAAAACAAAGGATATTCGTAATTTTGAATCAGGCATTGCAAAGATGGTTGATGGAATAAATTTTCCACTTGAATAACGTGTTTTGTATAGAAATTTTTAACGCTATTATTAATTCTAGTAAATCACATGTACCTGAAGATGACGTGTAAAGTATTTATAATAAATGGTTTAAACTGACCTAATCTCAAGAGTTGTTATAAAGTGGGAAGAGTTCCCCTACAAAAAAATACGCAGGAAGGAAATTAATACTGTCTTATACACCCCCCCCCCCCCCCTCTCCACTCAGAAGAGTATTCTCAGAAATTGCCCTCCTCAGTATTTAACTAAGCTAAATAGCTCATATTGTTTTCATATTCATTATGTCATTTTGATATGTGATACATATTTAACAGGGTCATATAATATTTTCATTTTGACTGTTTTTTTTTTAGATACCAGGAGGAAATAAGTGGCCATTTAAACTATTAAACATGATATGAATATTAAATACCAACAACTAAATAAATTCAATAGTTCTTTATTAAAAATAACATCCTGAGTTCCATCGGTCTTGAAACCAGAGAATTGTATAGATTGACAGCTCACGAACCTTCAAGGTAACGGTTGTGTTTGGAAGCTAGAAATTGTTTTGACAGCGGGTCACAAATGTTGCTTTCATTGCTCATTATATTTTTATTGTAAATAAATGACAAAAAGTATAAAGCAGAAAAAGAAGAAGAGTAAGAAAACAATTAACATGAACATTACCAGGGAAGTGACACCAGGATAGTGTCAAAAACGTACACGAAGCCGACAAAAAAATAAGATACATTAACGTACCGTTGAAAACCAGAAAGACATACTTACCAGAATAAAGACTGGAACCACTGGCAAAAAGGTATCTGCAGACACTACGTGAAAATGTGTGTGTAGCAATACAAAGGGTAATTCGTATATTGTTATATCAGTTGGTTACCTTAATTTCATTACATGTTCCAAATAAAGCATGATATTTACACTATGATGTATTCCCACAATTTGTCGATTTGCTCAATATTTTTTTGGCGGAACATCATTGAAATCCCAAATGCCGTATATTCACGCATTAATGTCTTTGACCATCCTTTCCTACAGGTAACACAAATATTTTCGAATGTATAACTTACAAGTTATTGTGGCCATCCGTGACAGGCACTGTTATCTCTGCATTCTTGAAAATATTTATGACTCACCATTCGAATAATGTTTATGGTTCGTTCGATAAGCCGGCTGCGATAACAAAGTATTTTGAACGATAAGCAAAAAGATATTTTATTTACGATTTATTATCCCCTGACAGGATGTGCCCGATAAGCTTCGGAATGCTTAGATTGGAAACGTCCATAGTTTTGCTTGAAAAAGAGCAGTTCCATAGAGACCGACCGGACTGGGCGTAGGACTGAGATATAATATATACAGGGTGACTTCGAAGTTGAGTCATTTATTTTAACAGTGAGTAGATCTGATCAAAAGAAATGTTTTTTTCCTTTACCATTTTTCTGGTAAAATTAAAGTAACAAAGTTATAGCCCTTTGGAAGTTTGAGTACCGCCCTGTCTCAATAATAATATCATGTACTCGTGTTTGGCAACAACGGATATAATCCGCCTTACCGGTTCATCGCATCGGAAACAAAAAAGCGAAAGAATTTGGAACGATGTTTTTGCAATTAAGTATTTTATTCAGTTCAGTTATACATACAGTCAGTGTCTGTCGGTTAGCGTGTGAATAGTGTCTGTTGCGTGGCTCAAACGAAATAAAAAATGGCACATGTTTATGCGGATCGGTTTCCCAATCGAGTGCAACCAACCCCTCGTGCCTTTGTTAATGTAGTACAACGGGCTCGTGAATCAGGTGACTTAAGACCTCACAGGGGACCTCACGATCAAATACAGGTCCGCACTGAAATACTTGTCGGGAGGATACTTTATAAAACAAGGTAAAATTTTTTTTTTATTTTTACACACATATTCTGGTTTATCTTCCTTCTACAATCATTATCTGAAAATTAATGACTCAACTTCAAAGTCTATTAACAAACGTGGACCAGACACTTGATTCCACTTGGGGAGTCAAGAATAGAGGACAATGAAGAACTGACTAGAAGAAATCATGTTAGCATTCAAATGATTAGAAACGGCCGCAGGTAATGGCAACATGAGATGGTGAACACTTTTTGAAATAAGTAAAATACCGAAACAGTGGGAGATATGCTTAACTGTGTCGATATTTAAGAAAGGGGATAAGAAATTGTGCGTGCAAATTATACGGGCGTATTGCTCAGTGTATTCGTTTAATTGTATATATATTAGCAGCAGTGGTATAGGCTTCGGTCTCCTGATCAGTCGCCGTGCAGGTTCGAGTCCCGTCCCAAGCGAAATTTTTCTCTTCGCTATGGATGTGTGTCCGTAGGTTTTAGACGGTATCTTTCCCATGTATCCCCCTGTAGCCCCACTGTACCCCATGGGTGTTTAGGATTCAGGTAGTTGGAGTATAAAAAAGAGGGCTCTTGTATAACAACTTCCCAACAAGACGACAGCTGGAAGCAGGCGTGCCTCAGGGGTCAGCCTTAGCCCCCCTGCTCTACAACATCTATACTCACGATGTGCCAAAGACAGCTGACACAATGCTGGCCCTATATGCAGACGACACTGCTATAGCCGCCAAGCATAGACGACCCGAGATCATCCGTAGGAGACTACAGGATGAACTGGACCACATCCAGGACTGGTGCGTGAAATGGAAAATCCGCATCAACGTCCAGAAGACGCAGGCAATCTTCATTCAACGAAGAAGGATTGCAAGACCTCTCGAAGCATCCATCTTCGACGAAGATATCCAGTGGAGCGACAAAGTCAAATATCTGGGGATCGTATTTGAAGTCCCTCACCTGGAAAGCCCACATAGAAGCTGTCATCGCAAAGACCAGAGCAGCCATGGCTCAACTCTACCCATTACTGGGCAGACACAGCCGGATGCCGCTAGCGACCAAGCTACGGCTGATCAAGGCCATCGCCAGACCTCAGCTCGCTTACGCCTCCGCGGTCTGGGGGTACGCTGCCCCCAGCTACCACAAGCGACTTGCTGCTCTAGAGATGAAGCTACTCCGGATCGCCACCAGTGCACCATCCTACGTAAGAAACTCAACCTTGCGTAGAGACCTGCATTGGGACACCATCCACGAGTACATGAGGAAAAAAGCGGAGAAGACCTTCGAGAAAGCTCAGGACCACCCGAACGAGCAGCTACGATTCCTCATGGACTACGATCCGGACGAGAGGCCTCGCAACCGCAGAACCAGGTACCCTAGACCAAGGTCCCAGTTGGCACCCGCTAACTGGAACCTTGACTAGGAGACTAGGAGAACCCGCGGTTGCTGAAACTCTTGATTTTTCGAAAACAAGAGTTTCAAGAGAATCAGCAGACCCTCTATCGATGATCGCTTAACGACATCGATAGAATGTTCGAGGTAAAGGGAACCAACCCGGCGTTCCCAGAGACTGAAACACATGAGGAGACGTTGTAGCAGACCGCAGGTCACGCACAACACATGGCCTACCGAGACGCTGATGAGTCAGGCCACGCGGAGGTTTAGGGTTTAGTGGGTATTAGGTGATCTCCTCAAGACCCTGGAGTCCCACACAACTTCCTATCTTTACTGGTAATTCAGGGGATCTACAGCAAAGCTTGGAAGATTTGAAAAACAGCTTTGAGGGAAATGACATGAAGATCAATGTATAAAAATAAAAAATAAAAATAGGATTACACACAGAAACTGCCTATATGATCCAACCAATGGCAGGGCTTTAGAGCAGGTGGAAGGGAACAATTTAAGTATGTACTTAGGGTGTACAATAATTGAACCAGAAGGGAAGAGAAGAAATTGAAATCTACGAAAGAATTAGGTCTGCATTAAATCTATATCATGAACTGAATACGAGCTTTCCAAGCAAACTAGGAATTTCTATAGATACTAAAATTAAAGTCTGTACATCAGTTTTTCTGCCAATTCTTCCCTGAAGTGCAGAAACCTGGACATAAGGGATGAAGACATAAGAAAAAAGTTTCAGGTGGTTCCAGTAACAAAACTTACGGAACAGCATCAGTTACGTTAGTCTGGTCGTGTCAGCAGAATGAATGAGGGTAAACATGTGAAGAAGATATGATAGGCATGTAAATACCTAAGCGAGGAAGAGGAGGACCAAGACTGACATGGGATGGGAAAAGAGAAAATATTCTGGAGACAAAAGGAGTATCAGCACAAGAAGCAAGCAGATTGATAGAAGACAGAAAACATCGGCAAGTTTGGGACTTACTGGCCTAATAAATATAGAAGATGTAGTTCAAATCTTATTAAAGGTCTTTCAATCATATCTGGTGTCAATGATTGATTAGAAATGCAAATCAGTTAACCACAGCACAGAGTGAATGTCAAAGCTCACAGTTATTAATTTTTTGTGCGGCTTGTCAAATACATATACATCCAGACCGCAGTAGAAGGCTGCTAAGCCCATAACCAATCAGAAGGTCAATGATATCCACAGAATGGCTGATTTAATTTTAGTGCAGTTTGTCAAATTAATATCATATGAGACCGTACCTTAAAATATCTTCCGATGCCATAAGGATATCCAGATTTTCTTGAGCAATTCAGACCCTAGAACCGACTTTCTGTCACTGTCGTAGAATGTTTTCAAGGCCAAAGGATGCTTAAAATATTGTTGGGCAATTGCAATTACATCCTCTATTTGTCGTAAAACTTTTTGTGTGTCTGTCACATATGTAGCTGGTTTTTTTATCGCAACTTATTCATGCAACTTTTTTAGAAAGTCACAAGTGCATCCATTGTTCGCTACTTTTGTCAACAGAACACAAAATGACGTCTGGCCAATGACTGGCTAAACTCCCGTCCTTCGAAAACTCACCGAAAATAGCTTCTTTATTATGACTGTCTAGGGGGCGTGTCTTCAGTGTCACAATCACCTTTTTAAAATCCACAAAAGTGCAGCACAGACACTGATGATCCACCCGACTGTCAACTGTGACCTTTGGCCACCTACACTTCGTAAACACACTACAGATACCGGCGACGGACAAAACAAATGACACGCGAAAACGCACTGGCACGACCGAGGACGGTGACTTTCGCAGTAGCAGTGGGCAGTGGCTCATGCCACAGAATCACATGATCTGACATCAACTGACGGCGCTCCATGCACGACTGGCGATCGACTGCGTGGCGATGGCAGCCGATCGTCCGCAAACGATGGATGCAATCGCACAGCGCATGCAGTGCGCAAGGACGTGCGCGCAACGAGGCGATGTTGCCGGATTGCACTTGCGCGCGGTGCATTGCTCATAGTCCAGGCATATAGGTATCGGATTGGCTAATAAATAATAAGCCACTAGCGAACTTAAAATTTTGACAATCTAATCACCATAATTATCTCCTACAGTTCGCCAGCGTTTAGGCAAAGAAAAGATTCATCCCTTTAAAACACCGCCGGTTTGGATTTCAAGTCATCCATGCCGTGTTGCAATTGCGGTTCATCACCAAAGCTTTTTCCCCTAAATGAATTACTGAAATGAAATGATATCTGTTGAGGCTAAGTCCGGGAAATACGGAGCGTGGGGCACCATTCGAGTTTAGCTCCAGTACACTTTGCAATATGCGGTCGGGCATTGTCAAGCAGAACAAATATTTTGTCACATTGGACGCTTAGGTCGGACTTCAAGCTTCAGATTTTCAAGTTATTTACGGTAATAATCGTCATATTCTTAGGTAGTATTTCCCAAAATCCCATTACTCCAAGAGCAGCACCTTGCTAGGATGAAGAAATCTCCTTCTAGTATAGATTTGTCTGGTTCTTTGGGGCCCACAAACTGGCGCTTGTGAAAATGGTTAATATAGATGACCCAATTCTCGTCTCCAGTAACAAGCTTCGGATCTACGATTTTTTCGAACCGGCAAGGGGTATTACGTATCTTGAAAAGTGACACTGTCGTTTTTTGACATTATATATTTTGTGTTTGGCTCTGATGTGATGTAACATCTGCTTCGGAGATGACATTTTTGGATGTATAAGTTGCTGTAAGTTGTATACTATAGCTGGACGGAAACAGCAGTGTATAGTGCTAATAATATGTGCTGATGATAATTCCATTGGTTTCTTGTCTCACATACACTTACTTGAGATGTATGCAAAGCAAAAAATTAATCGTGCATACACTTTTTCTTATTCATACTGGAAATTACATACAGGGTGGCGCATCGAAAACGAAACAGGCGCATTTACTGGCAGCTATCAGTTTTTTTTTTTGGAAAAACGATCAGACCCGTCGATTTTGTTTTCGAGGGGGACACAAGTTTGGCAAAATATCACGTTAACACCCTGTGCGGAGGTGACACCAACCCTAAAATCCTAAATGGAAGGGGGGTCAAGTGATACCTTATTTTAAAGGTATTTCAATTTCCTTTATAATGATGTAAAATACATGAGCTTCAGTTCAGTAGTTTTGAAGATTTATTGATTCAAAACTTAAAGTAGACTTTAAGGTAATAGGTACATCAGATTAGTTTGAACTACTTTCAGAAGAAATTTGACTAAAAGAATTTATTTAATAAGTAAATGCTTTTCTTCACTACGCCCATGGTTTGTTTATCATTTTGTTGTTGAAAATAGCTATTGGAGCGTTTTTTTGTGGCAAAAAGTTATTTCTTGAAGAAAGATAAGGAAATATCTCGTACTTATTTTAATTAGGAATTTAGTACATAGTTTGCGATTGATTTGACCAATCTTTGTTGCTAAAATAACTTGTAACGCCTTATTACATAAATTAACCATGGTATATTCCACAGCAGAAAGAGTTGAAATTATCGAAATATTTTTCGGAAATAATCAGTGCGCTAATAGAACAGCAGAAATATTTAATGAGCGACATGAGAACAGTAACGTGCATCGAAAATATGTTCTAGAACTTGTAGCTAAATTTCGGGAAACTGGGTCAGTCGCCAATAAAAAACGCAACATTGAAAATCCCATAAGGAACGAAGCAATAGAAGTGGGGGTTTTAGGGCAAGTTTATGTAGATCCTACGTTAAGTACCCGCAAATTGGAGGCTGTGTTAACGTGATTTTTTGGTAAACTTGTGTCCCCCTAGAAAACAAAATCGACGGGTCTGAGCGTTTTTAAAAAAAACTGAGCTGCCAGTAAATGCGTCTGTTTCGTTTTCGATGCGCCACCCTGTATATACAGTAATGGATAAAAAGTATATAGACAAATATGAATATTTACCTAAATACCTTTAGAAAACCAATTCATACTTCATTGCTCCATAAACAAATGCGGTATTAGTACAAAAAACTAAATTCCTTGTTTTTACATTATCTGCAATAAACAACAATACAAGTCTGAATATAAGCAATTTTTTATGAGGGACAAAAATATGTAGACAAATTCTCTTCGACATTAGTTTAGTACAGTTTCGTGTCAGAAGAGGATTAGTTTGTGTTCATCAAGTATTGTGGAATAAGTTGAGTAATTTTAAGACCATGCCGGATGGTCTAGAAATTTCTTTCGATGTGAAAACTAAGATCATTGAGTTATATGTACAAAGATGGTCAACGTCAAGTCGTCATTGCCAAAAATTTGAAGCTGAAGCGTAAAGCAGTTTGGGCAATATTCAACAAATATAAACAAAAAGGTATCTTGGAAGCCTCTGAGAGAAGTGGTCGGCCTAGAAAACTAAATGCTAGATCAGTTAGATTAATAAAAGTAATTTCGTCCAAAGATCCGTTTAAAACCCCAAGACAAATAAAAGCGGAAATCGGAACAAAAGGAATTGCCAGTGTTTCCACGAAAACCATAAGTAGAAAATTAAATGATTTGAAGTTATTTGCACGTCGCCCGAGTAAGAAGTCGCTAATCTAGAAGAAAAATCGTAAGGACCGATTACAATTTGCACGGTTGCGTCTTGATTGGTGCATCTATGACTGGAAGAGGGTGTGTTTCAGGGACGAATTCAAGTTCAATATGTTTGGATCAGATGGTGTTCATTACGTTAGACGTCCTACTGGACAAAGATTGAACCCCAAGTACACTTTGCCCACTGTCAAACATGGAGGCGGGTCTGTTATGGTTTGGGGGTGCTTTTCGGGGTTTGGGATGGGACCTTTACATAGAAAAGATGTCATGTTACCCTATATGGAAGACAATATGCCCTTAAGATCAATCTTCCAGCAAGATAATGACCCGAAGCACACTTCAAATCTCGCAAAGAAATTCTTTCTGGATGCAAAAATACCAGTTCGCAAATGGCCTTCACAGTCTCCCGATATAAACCCCATTGAAAATCTATGGGAATACTTGGATAAGCAAATACGAGATAAAAGTTGTTCAAACAAGGATGAACTTTTTGCCACTTTAGAACAAAAGTGGAGACATATTGATGAATCTTATATCAAGAAACTTCTACAATCTATACCGAGACGATGCCAGGCGGTGATTGATAATAATGGTTATGCTACAAAATATTAACACAAACATGGTTGGTTTTCTATAATTCAATGAATTTTGCTTCCTTTTTCTATAATTGTTTTGCTTTGTCTATATATTTTTGTCCTTCGTAGTTCCAGTTTTTTCCATGAATTTTTTATTGAAGGGAGTCTAATGAATTTATTTATGTATAAGCGAGTATTATGCTATAATGAATTATGTATACAGGTTGGTGTATTAATAAAACAAGTTAAAAAAGAAATACAGCACAATATTGATTTGTCTATATACTTTTGTCCATTAATGTACGTAAATTTGCGTTTCAAAAGTGAGAGAGATGATAAAAGAATCCTTGGTTGGTGAACATTACAACTAACAGGTGAGAAAATAAGCCACAGACAGGAATATTTATGAAAGATATTATATTATACATTATTAAATTATTACGCTCACAGCGCTAATGGCGAGCAAACGCGGAATGAACTTTTGATACATATGTTTTTTACGGGACAGAAACTTGATAGTAGCTCCCCCTAGTTTGGAGTGAGGACAGTAACAAGATGGTCTAGTCAGTTAAATGTACGGCGAAACAATGTATACAGACGTCTGCTCGATAAATAATTTGTCCATTGCTCAACTGTTGGGTAAACTTGCAAATCTTCCCTAAAGCATGCAAATGATCGTCTATCATGTCGTGATCACAAAAGCACTTTAGCCAAATCATGCGTGATGCTTCGTGGGTCTTCTTCAATTTAATGTCCTAAGTTCACCGCACCGCTTTGCTGTGGTCTCGAAGACCACGTCATGAGCTGGCCCTTTGGCATATGTTACGTTCAGTCTCTACAGCAAAATGCCTAGACTGATGTATTGATATTCATATTATAGTAAGCCTTGTCGAAGTTTAATGTCGCTCACTTTTTTGTTATATTTATACTTCATAGTTTTTTAAGTACACGTGAAAGGTGGCGTTTGAAACATTATTCGTAAAAAAGTTACGAGCATTCTTTTGTACCTCTTGACGAGTGCTTTATCAAATATCTTCAAGAAGATAATTCCGTTGTAAAACCCGCCAATACAGTTTTTTAATATTTTTTGCTATTATCCGTTTATCGAAGAAAGAGGCTAAACCAAACATATCCACGCATACTCCACCCTTCTGGTTTTGCATTGGCTCTGTAGTATGGGCTCGAGCAATTCTGCCCAATAACAGTTATACTCCCCTTCTTGAAATATATCACTGTGCTGATCACGCGCTGCTCACGCGATAATCACTGTTTTGGTTAGATAGATGCATAATAGTTGACGTAGTTTGACCTATGACAGGATTTACAAATAAATTGTACATCAAGCTTTTCAGAGAAGCTGACAACCCATTTCACAGCAGGACTTGGCCCTTGGCAATTCAAGCTGTTCTAATGATTATTTAATTTGCTGTCGTTCAATTCTGTTAATTCAGAGAAAACTATCTTAGGAAAGCATTATGAGAATTAACAACAGATAAAGTCAAATTCCAAAACCTGCTGTTTAAAATAAATATTACCCTAGTTTCTTGCTGTTGTTTGTCCGGATTATTTTCCTTAATTGAATAGTAATTTACTAGGAGTACGGTTAAGGCATAAATAAATAATTAGAACCCATTATTTTCCGGCAGTGTTCGCAACGATCAGGTTAATAGGCACTTATCACCAATGTATAAAGACTACAAATAACAGGGTCACTCAAAGGTCTAGTCAGTTTCTTGC